GTTGGGTTAGTCCATATTTGACCCAAAGTTGGGTTGAAACAACCCAGCATTTTTAAGAGTGTAGTAAATAAAACTTTTTAAACTTTTAAGTTTTCGAGTGTTGTACTTGTGTAACGTTTGGCTCCTCGGATGTACCAAATGAATACTGTTGTTTCATGTTTGTTGCATTTGTTGTATATAAAAATGTTTCCCCCCAAATCTCTCATTTGCATTTTCCAATTTTTGGATAGGAAATTCAAATTTTTATTCAAGCTAGGTGTTGACAGTATGCATTCACAAACCAAAGGGACCCATATAAGAACCATTATAATGACCAGAATGTTTAAAATTGTACTAATGAACTGATGAATTTAGAGCAAAACAGAAGTTATTAATCCTGCTATTCATGTCATTTGAACTCTCTTTGCTAAGAGTTGATTCAAGAACACATTTCTGCTGCAGTTAGGGAAGTAAGACTTTTAGCTATACCTTTTTTTTTTATAACTAACAGTGTAGATTTAACCCCACCCACCCCCCACCCCCAAGTCTTTACACAGACTAAACACCGCATATGAAATCTTTTTTTTTTTTGGTACAAATTGTATTTTTTATTTTGTATAAGTGGTGAGGCAAAACATATTTTGACTATTCTTAAACATCAGTAACATATTTTGTGCAAGTCTAGTTCCACTTGTTTATCAATAAAGATAATTCTGTATTCCCATTCTAAGGCCTTGTAATTGTTGAATTTATTTTTCATGCAACCAAAGTTATTGTTTTTATGCATGCAAATATTGGTAGACATTTCTTTGACCTTATTTCAGGCTATGCTAAATACATGCATTCCCCTAGTCTTTAAAGACCTTAAATTTTGTTGCAATAATTGTGAAGATTTTACTTTTTTATCATGAAGAATCAAGGACAAATCGGTGTTCATTTTCTCATTGACAGGTTTTGAAAAAAATATGGTCAAATAAAATACACTGTATCTTAATAAAAATTATTTTAAGTTTTGAAAACCTGTGTGATGTAGGGTTGGGTATTGTTCAGGTTTTTTACGATACCGGTGCCAAATCGACACTTTTAAAGTGGTATCGGTGCCTGAACCGATACTTTCAAAAAAGAGCCACAAAACTACGGTCGATGACATTAAAGAATGTTTTTTTTTATTAAAAAAAATATATATATCTGTAAATTAAACAATATATTAAAAGTTTAAATTGTACAGAAATAAAATATAAGTAAATACAAAACACAACAAATTTTACATAAGTTCAGTAAACCTAAGCCACCTAACCCAACTGCAAAAAATTTAACACTAAATAACAGTTACAGTAGGCTACTAATAACAGCAAAGTAGTCTGTATTCTTGGCAGGGATGCAACAATAGACCACGGTTTAACACATACCTTGGTTTTTAAACCACGGTTTTCGGTTCGGTTCGGTTCTGATGGCTTGGCACATAATTTTTTTTTTTTTTACAAATTGCAATTTAAAATGTAATTTTTAAAACAAATTAACCCAAAAAAATCCTTTACACTTGAGTAAAACATGGATATACATATATGTCTACTATTTCTTTTGAGAGAAGTATTATTTTTCCTATTTTTACCCAAAGGACGGATTGGCCATTACTGAGGGCTATAAACTAGAGATGCGCGGATCCGCTGCTTCAAACAAATTATCCACACACCTTTATTTTTCTCTGATTTAGACATGGACGTCGGAAGCAATGAAAATGTGGGTGGGTCCAACATAGTGTTAGTATAACTGTTATTCAATGCTGCAACAAAGACTATGATGCCTTTAAAAGCAACAGGCGAACAAATGATGAGAATTCAGTTTAATAGCAGCTAGTTTAGTGGCAGTAGCCAATGTGAGCACACAGCCAGACCCACCTGAGTGGCAGATATGCTACAATGCTTTGTTTATCTTGCTGTGTAGGGAGAGTGCAGCAGGCGCGAGTACTGAAAACACGGAATGGAGTTTAATTTATATGGACTCTGAATGAGCCAAGCGGAATGGATTTGAGGAAGCAGCAGTATGGAAATCAAGGCTGTAGCTAAAATGCAGAATGGAGTTTAATTTATTAGGGCATTCCTCAATTGGAATGGATTTGAGTGGTAGCGCTCTGAAAAGTGAACAAACTTATGCGCTGAATTGGAGATGGTAAAAGTGAGTGGGTTCAATATAATTGGTCTTAAAAAGTGGGTGGGTCTTGTCCCACCCACATACAATGGCTCCGATGCCCATGGATTTAGATATCCGTCTCGACCCGCACCCGATCGCCACATTACAATTATTCAAATTCTTAGTTTTGCATGATGATATGATGAATAGATGGCTCATTTTTAACAGCAGATTCAGTTATGTTAAAGCTGGTCTGCGCATCACTGCACACTTCTGTGGTGCATTATGGCTCTGACACGGCCACCAAAGCTGATCGCTGCCACACAATGCTTTAAAATTATGCTTATGCTTATACCTGCTGCGCTGCTTCGCTTAAGATAAGTGCTTAGTGTATTTTTGACCGATGCCGCGTCAAAGCCGCACATTATTAGAAAATTGAGGATGTATTTTAAACGACGAAAAAACAGCTACAAATATTTTATCCTTGTCGTACATAACTAGACTTTTAAGTGTATTAACTTGTAGGATACAGCACACAACATAGCAATAAACACAATTAAACCGGAGAAAATGCCAACTAACCCATGATACAACCCCAAAAATCAATACAAAACGAGTTTAGTTATTATAATAATAATAATAATAAAATCCAGTTGCTTCGCTCCTGGTGTGAGTTCGCACCGCGTGGAGGATGGAACAAAACCTCGTCGGAGCCATAAAGGGGTAACGGTAACATAATAGGCTGTTCCCTTTCGATACTTCACTTCGTACTGCGTCGCTAGACGCTACGGGAAACTCCTTTTCTCCGATTTACTGAAGCCTTTTTTTCAATCACAGCAGTGCTGAGGATTGGTCGGGCTCCATTGCTGACCCAGCCCCCTTGCCGTCTGCAGAGCCGATCGACGCCAGGGTTGGTACGGACACCGAGCTCATCCGTGTCCTATCAAAAGCCGTCGAGGAGCTCGGATTGGAGTGGTCTTCGCCTGAAGAGCCCACTCGCAGCCGCCTAGACGAGTGGTTTCTGCCGGGACGCCGCCAGACCCCTCCTCAGCGAGCTGCGCCCTTCTTCCCAGAGGTTCCCAGAGCTCGTTTACGCTCCTCTGTCTCTCACGCCCTCACTACAGTCAACGGCGCTGCACAGAAGGGCTACGATAAGTTGCCTCCTCTGGACGAAGCAGTGGCTGCACACCTCCCCGGTCACCCCCACTGGCCTTTTCGGACCTGCTGTGGAAGGGTTCGTCAAGCGTTTCACGGCTGCACAGAAGTCGTCCCAAGCCATGCGACACTTCCTGCCGAAGCGTTCCAGTTCTGCAGCTGCTGCCAGTCGCCCCAAGCCGGCGCCGACTCAACAGCCAGTTAAGACTACGCCTCCTGTGACTCAGCCCTCTGCACGGCCTGAGCCCAGGCAGCGCTCGCGCTCTGCAAAGCGCCACCCTTTCCCGAAGCGCCAGGGACCCCGGCCCAAGATTGTGCTGGACCCTGCGCCTCAGAAGCCATCTTGATCCCTCAGGA